CCCACTGCACTCTATTCCTGTCTCTAGCAGTCATGAACCTCTTCCCCTTGATGATTAAAAGGCTAAAGACAGGCACTTCCTTAAATCCGAGTCACTTCCTTTCAGCCAATTAGGGCATACATTTGCATTTTTAAGAGCAAATATGTACACCAAGGAGGAAAAAGGAAAGATGAACCCAATTTACTAACTACACATACTGAAAAATCACCTTATTGCAGGAACCAGGATGACTCAGAAAACAAATGTAAATAGCTCCTGTGATTTAGCACTGACTGACACCCATTGCATTAAAAGAAACTGGCCATTATTTCTCGCAAGCTCCATGCTAATTCCTTCCATAAAACGTCAGCAGGGCATAACCATCCAGAGGCTTCACTTGGTGGCAAATAATTCCCTGATCAGTCTAGGGAAAAGAAGCTAATCTGCATCTCCAGCTTTTTGGGGAATGTTCCAGGGTTGTAAAGCATGAGTCAGCAGCACTGCTGCTATAGAGGTTTTTCCCTACCAGATGCTGCTGGCATTTCCCAGCTTTGGTATGGTAGCACAAGTGTCCATAGGGAAATAGATACCCTTTGTATCAAATGGGACAGGTGTATTGATTGCCATCTGTTCATTATCATATTAAAAGTCATTGCAGACCTGTATGTTTACGATGCAATTCTTCACAGCAAAGAGCTTCACTTCCACAGGAAGAAAGAGTCAAGTTGATGGTGAATGTGGGAGAAATCAAGTCTTTTCATTCTCACTGGTCCTGCTACTACAGTAATACCACAGCCACCTTTGCTACTGCACTCACAACAAAAAACACCATAACACATCTCATGATGCAATTTTGCACACATGCAGCTTCCTCTCACCAAGGATCTCAATCATTTTGTAAAGCCGATGAATACCCCTAATGATGGGTACATTGGCATTGCTTTGCTTTACACACAAAGAAAAGAAGACACAAACTTGCAGAAATGAACATGGCAGCCTACACAGCCTTCAACTATAGGCCTGCACTTCATCACCCCATCCTCCAGCTGAGACTATGTCAGCTGAACTCCTGATCCACTTCACCTTTCAGTGGATTTCTGCACTTTAATGGTCATTATTTTCTTGACAGGTTATAAAGGGTCCTTCCTAAAGTTACTAAACCCAACTTCTGCTGTCTAACTGTCCCTCACTCACTATTTAAACATAGCTTGACAGAGAGCAAAGGACAATCGTATTTTCTTCCTAGAAATGAAAACCTAAGCTGTAATGAGTGCTCCCTTCCCTGAAATGAAGAAAGCATTGACGTAACCTCACCACCTGATGCCTTTGATCTTCCAAGCTGGCAGTACATGCACATGATAGGCAGCCAGCACCCCAGAGCAGCTATAGCACATGCCGTGTCCTGCCCAGCTGACAGAAGGGCCACAGAGAAACTGGGGTACTCTGGTGCCAAAGTAAGGGAAAAAGTGGTAGGGGAGGACACAAGACATAAACCCATGGGAAAACAAATTTTCATCAGGACCATTAGCTCCAGTCTTACTCACAGAAAACCGGTTTTATGTGGATTATGTTCTCCCCAGCTATAATTTTTTAGTCCATTAACAATTTCAGCCTGCTTTGATGCAGAAGCAGAGATAACTGTCTTCCTACAAGTCATATGAAAACATACATCCAAGGAGAAAAGACAGACCCTGCAAGTGACCCTCCCCTCATGTCGCAACTGGAAGGAAAGCCATAACATAGGACCCCTATTTGCCACTGAAAAATCCGCCAAGAAGACAGACTTTGTAATCAACAGAGCAGCAGGAAAATCTTCACTAAGAAGTTTTCTTCAAGCACAAGACACAGATCTTAATTTCAACTGAATTAACTTAAATTCAACTTAATTTCAAACTGAAACAGGAGAAGTTCAGGATGGATTTAAGGCAGAAGCTCTTCCCTGTGAGGGTGCTGAGGCGCTGGCACAGGGTGCCCAGAGAAGCTGTGGCTGCCCCATCCCTGGCAGTGTTCAAGGCCAGGTTGGACACAGGGGCTTGGAGCAACCTGCTCTAGTGGAAGGTGTCCCTGCCCACAGCAGGGATTGGAACTGGATGAGCTTTAAGGTCCCTTCCAACCGAAGCCCTTCTATGATTCTAAATCGACAGGAAAGCCAAAACCATTTATTCTGGTGCTCAGAAAAAATACTTGTTTCATGTAAGCACAGGACAAGACAACGTTAATACTGGTAACCTAACCTTAACCTTAGTAAAACTGAGAATGTTGAGACCCAGCCTAGAACAGCTGCAAAACAAACTCCCTGCTTACCTCCATGGCACATGCTCTAACAGGGCTGTCTAACACGTGGCGTTAAAGAAGGGGTGATGATCTCGGGCCAGAGCTAGACAGAGTCCCAGGCTCGCTCCCTGCTGCTGCTTCCTGGTGATGAACTGATGCCACACAGCGCTTCTTAATGTCTCCTGCATGTGTGGTCACCATGTGATTGTTTAAATGAAGGCCAGTGCCAAACATCACGTCATTCTGGGTGCATGCCCTAGAGTCCACAGACTGTAACCCAACACACCTCCCTGCCACTGTACGCTCTGGCTCCTGTTGCCTTTCTGTATCAGCTAACACAGTGTTTTTCTTTTGGTATTCCAAGCCATAGTCTGCTACCCCTGAGGCCACAGGATCTTTAAGTCCTGCCAATATGGAATTATTTCTCTTCTTACAGCATAAGTACCCCTTACCTCTACTTCAAGAAAATTACATTGCTTGAAATCATTTCCATTTTTGCCAGCATAACATCTCATTTTCTTCTTTGCAGCCTGAAGGAATGATTTGTAATGTGAATCTTAAAAGCCCAGATCAGAGGAGGAAGTTAAAATGACTGATAAATCACAGGTGTAAAATATAGAGGTATTGTTTATTAAAAATACAAACCTCCTCGCCACCTCTGATCTCTTAACAAATAGCTAACACCCTTTCTTTGGTTTCAGGAGACCAGAGAGGACTGGTAAGATGCTGTGCACAGGAGACAGCCCCATAGGAGATGAAAAGCATTCATCTGAGGGGATCACATAGTCAACAAATCTGACTCATTACCCACTGATACTGTAAAACCCAGGCAGTTCTACTTGCCTGCTCACAATGCCATCACTTCTATCTGGGAGAGCTCCTTGCCCCTTCCCTGTGCTGCAGCAAAATCTCGGATCCTGACAGCAAGCCCAGCAAGCAGTGCTAGTCCTTGAGACAGAGTTTGCAAAACATTAATGAAATCAGACTGCAGCTTGGCTTGCTGCCCTTGGATAATGGAAGTGAAATTAGAAGTAGAGGGAAGAATGGTTGTTCGTAGCTAGAAACAGATCGCTGAATGTGTTTCTCAAGAATTAAAGCATTTTATATGCTATTTACTTCAGGTTTTCACTTCACTTTAGTGGTAACTGATACCAGGAGGAAATTAAAAGCAGCTAATTAAAACTAACAGGTAAAGTATTCCTTTGAAGTATTTTATTTAGCCAGGAAAACCTATCAGGTAAGAAGCCTTCTGCCAAGGACAGAAAAAATACAAGGACTGAGAAAACAAAGATGTGTAGAAGAGGAAAACAAGGAATAGAATCGTATGTAAAAACAGGAGAGAGCATAGCCTGAAAATACCACAAATGCTTTCCCGCAGGAACAGCATCTATCAATCAGCCCTAGTAATTTATTGCCATAAAATTGATTACTCGTCATATTCCAGAGGGATGCATTACTGCTAGCAGTGACCCATGTCCTTGCCAGTGCTGCTGTTCTGGTTTGGGGTTCCTGCTTGCCTGGGGATCCAGACTGGCTCTTCCAGGAGAGCAGGCTTTCTCACAGGGTGATCATTACTCCTGGTTTACCAGGTTTCCAAGAGGCACCCTGGAACTCCAGACTAAAACACACAAAGATTTTGACTGCTGCCCTACAAACACACATATTCCCTCCAGGTCTACATGTAGAGCTAAGGACTACAATCACCTGTAGGACACCGGGGAAGAACACACACAGTTTGGAAGCTATTGGGTGAGAATTGGCACCTCAGAAGTTAATATATGATGGATACACCTTTCCTTCTCTCCAGAGAGGTGCAGGGACCAGATTTTCATTCCTGACATTGGGGTGTGTTTATATATTTTTAAGGGCACAGTCCCCATTGCAAACCAATGAGACAAGCATTACCCAACCGCTTCACACATCTCTAAGTTTAATACCAAAAAATGAATGTGTTTTTATTCTGCAGGGTTTTATCTCACAGTTTCCTTTACAGCAAGGAACCAAACCCAGAAGATATTGGGGGAAAGAGGATAACAAACTGCTTCTCCCAGGAACTAGCAATGACACTGTCAAAACTCCCCAGTCTGTTTGCTTCATTGTGACAGAGAGAAATCACTTCTGCAGCGCCGGTGATATGTCAAGAAGCCGTCAGTGGCTCTTCCAGCCCTGCCTGGCTGTTGAAATGCTGTGCATTAAACCCTGAGCTGACACACATGTGGGTTTGGGGCAGCAATGAAGGGGTTAAAAGAAGTTTCCCTCCTCCGGGAAAGAGATCCAGTATGAAACCTCCACTATGCTTTCTGCTGTGTGCCGATAGATCCTATCTGCTCTGAGACAAGCAGTGATTTTAACCCTGCTCTTGCCAATGCTAAACTCAATACTGAAACAACCCACATCTGATATAACCAAAGGCAGTTTTGCACCCTCACTATACTGACCCAAGACAACTGACAAGCACCCAGGTCTGTATCTCACCCTTCGGTAGCTGCAGCTGAAAGGACTAATTAAACAGCAAGAGCATACGCGTACACAGCAAAAATAACTTCACAGAGCCTGCCAAAGCTATTTGAAAACCTATGCAAAGCTGCAACAAAACACAGCTTGACAAAATGCAGGAAAAACAACGCAGAATAACAGGTATTGTTTAAATAGAAGTAAAAACTAAACACCAAAAAACCCAGCCCAAACCCTGTATCATGCTCATTCCCCCATTCCCAAAATCACATTCAAACACAGAGGTGTCCTACCTTTTTGATCTGTGAACAAGCAGATTCCAATCAGTGAGTCACGACCAAGACTATATACCAGAGAATCTGTTAATATAAAACAAACATGAGCAAAAAAACCCCTGAAAATACTTATTTTTTCTGGCAAACAGTTTTCAGCTATAAGAAGGGTTTTGTCTATTATACAAAGACACAGATGCATAAAGATAGCCAGACAAGAAGGTGTTTATGAAGGTATATGCATATAATGTATGCATCAAATAGATTTATAAACAGAGCTACAGAAGTTTATTACCTATACATTTTAATTCATTCAGTGTGCACCGCTATAGAATTTAACCTACAAGCAGACCAAACCCAGAAAGCTACAGCATAAAGGGATAAACTCTTTCAAATCAATCCTCAACAAGCAAACAAAGCTGACAATTCTAAAGGAAAATCATTACCAGCTCACACGCTGCCATACCCCAAAAGCCTATCCTTAAATAACTGCTGCATAATCATTCTCATGGAGTGTTGTTATCCATCGGCTCGCTGCCTATGCCCAGACAGACGCAGTCTGCAAGCCACCAGCTTGTCTCTACCATGTGTACGTCAGGAAAAGGAAAACTGCAAATTAGAAGAAGTCCCCGCAGTGGTGAAAAGGAAAAGAGGGTGAGTGGGAGAGGAAGAGGGAGTTCACTGGCCACAGAAATTTCCAGAATGATGACAAACCAGCCAGCTCCGCCATCATCCACTTACAATAGGATGCTGCACCTCACGGCTGCTGAAGCAGTTTGTCAAGGGGGTGCTGGTATTGAATGCCCGACAGGCATTTTAATTGCATCCAACCAAGTGTGTCCCCAGGAACTGGGCCTTTAATCCTGCAGATATCATCAACTGGTTTCTTTTGTGCTGCTGCCAAGCACACACAGGCAGGCACTGCACACAGGCAGCAGCACACCCGGTCTCCGCTGCGATGCCGATCCAAATCCTAAACAGGTTTTAGGGATGGTACACGCTGAAAAGGAGGTCTTGAGGGATTTAGCATTTTCTGCATTATGGATTAGGAGGGCAATTCTCTCTTCCCCCTTTATTTTTCTATCTAGCACTTCTGTTCACATGTTGGAATCAGCTCGGGTATGCTGTTATTTAAGCCACCAACAGGGAAATAAAACCAGGGAAAATGCAGAAGTGCTGCAGGACTGCAGGGATCCTTTAGGACCAATACATGAGAGGAGCAGAGCTCACTGCACAGTTCAGCTTGCAAAGGGGCTGCTGTGAGGGGTGCAGTTTTACTGCCACTATTCAGCCATCATCTGCCTCAATCTCACCTCCTTCTGAGGCTTTCTCCAGACCAACGTTAATCTGAGCAGGAGAAGGGACCTGTGCATTGGGAAATCAGGCAGTGTTTTGGGAGAAGACCCAGCATGGCTGGAGAGGGGCAGCAGAGAAGGGATGGAGGAACATGAAGCCAACTAGATCCAGTTTCCAGCAGCAAGCTGGTGTTTCTCAGTCCCTGTGACAGCAGAGTTCTTGAGATGGAAGGATGTCAACAAGGGAAGGAAACATCTCTCTGTCACAAAGTCTGGGAGAGGGCAACAAGCCCTATTCACCTTTGAGAGGGACAAGGGGATGGCAGGAAGGAGTAACAAACCTCCCACGGATCTCCAGGGCTTCTCTCCCTGTCAGGGTGGAAGGCTGCAAAGGGAATAGATTCCCTTTTGCTTCCCCCTCCAACCACGAGAAGATGACTTTTCACAGACCCATCAAACTTTGCATCAACCACAAGTTCCACCCTCATTGCTATAAACAGATCCTACTGTCTTAAAAGCATCTGTCCTGACCAGATATTTTTCCCCACACTCTCTAAACCACCATAACAGTGAAGAGGACAACGAAATGGAGGAATATAGCCCCTAAATCCAGCCTGCATGGGACAGGGCTGGTGGTGGAGAAGGTAACGTGTGGTGGCAAAAGGCCTTCAGAAGGAAGGGAAAAAATGAGCAAGAGCAGCACTAGTGCAAATCTTGGACCTCTCCTCTGAGAAAGCCTCCCATGACTCATCAGAAGGGTGCCTGCTGCTGCCAAACCTCCCACTGCAGAGCTCTTCCTCTGCAGAAACCAAGGAAACTCTAAGCCTGCCCTCGTCTTCCCCAGCTCCACCATTTAACAGTTGGTGCTTGTTCACAGCACTGCTGCCATCCCCTCCTCACTTCCACAGCTCCCCTCCACCAGCCACCCTTGCCCCAGAGCAACCAGGAGCTCTGGGAGGTCCAGAATGAGCACCACGTTGCTGGGGTGGTAAAAGGGTATCATGAAGTGCTGAAAACTGTCCTCTAGTTTCTCTCAGATGCTCCTAACGGACCTCAAGTGGTTCCCAAGGGATTGATACATATTACCATACTGGAGCCCTTGGTTGAATCTTCATCCAACCATCCATACCGCCTTCACTCTGCCCATGCAAGCATTTCCAGGCACCCAATCTGCCAAAACAGCCCATGACAAATGGTTTCATCATAAGATAATGCAAAAAGGAAACAATCTTAATGATCGAGTTTGTTCTGGCTGCCCTACAATTTGTATTTTCATACTTCTATAAAAGAATTTTTGACAAGACAAAAGGCACAGGAGGAGACAGGGATGAAGGGCCTAATCCAGGTAAATGCTGGAACACAGAGAACTCTCATCCTTAGAGATCTAACCGCATGCTTTCCTGGCTCAGACAGGAAAGCAGCATCAGCTACAAAGCAAACTCATCACACACAATTAATGCAGTCCGACACAGTGAAACAGGAATACTTGTGAGCAAAAAGAAAACACAAACATCAGGAAGTTGACAAGGCAATGTCCTGCAAACTTTTAAATGATGAACTCATGCTCTGCAGCATTGTTTTCAGTGCCATAGCTCTCAAAGAGGCATAAAGACATCTACAGTCTCAGCAAAGGATGTGGGAAGACTGTGACTTCAAAAACCTGGTCTAAACTCTAAAAACCCTTGCAGCAGGTTCAGGTGGGCTTTTCTCTTTAATTCTGACATTCACGCATGACAGTGCACTCAGTTTCATTACTGCATTGTAGGAGAGCTTAGAAAATCTGGCTGCATACTGGGCCCCTCTGTGCAAAGTGCTGGGCAGAACAGGAGACAGCTTCTGTTATAACGGGTCACTTAAAAGAGCCAAACCACAAAAGGGGGTAGCGGCAGCATCCTCCTTGTTGTCATGATGAAACACGGAGCCTCAGTTGCCAAGCCAAGCTGGAAGACCCTCCTAGAACCTCAGATGTTTCCACCCAAGCCACTGCCAAAACCCTGATAACCTTTAACAAAGGACTTGGAGGCTGGTTGCTTCTTTTTAAGCAAAGAATGGGGGAACATTTTATGCACTGCCTTAAATAGCAACTGGTATCATCAGTGATGTAGATTATAAAGAGTAAGTCTACTGAACAGAAACTGCACCACTCTGGTAAAAATAGCCCTGGAACAGGGAATTTACTTCTTTATTCACTATTGTCTTACCACTCAGAACCGTGCTGGGGATGGATGGCTCTGGAGAGCTTGAGAGGAGACAGATGCTTCACCAGACTCTGTAAGTGTTGCCTATTCTTCTGCAACAGTAATCAACATCAGACTATCCTACTTTATTAGCCATCTGAGGGACAACCTGGCCTTCCCCACCTCCACTTCCTTGAGAGGCAAAAACCAGGATATCACGGCATTAATGAATCCTGGAGACACACACAGTACAGCAGACTGGCTCTTTCACTGGGGCTACACAGTGAGGAAAGCTGAGGCTGGAGTCACCATCTGTATCTATGGTTACTGATAACAGAGGATTTGGGAAAAGCCACAGGCTGAGTGAGCAGCTCTTGTGGGTAACAAGGTGCAAAGGACTTCAAGGCAGGTTAGAAGCTTTCAGGATGCAGGGGCTGGCCTGACCCCCAGAAAACAAGCGTGCACTACCTGATGTATCCACCTCACGCAACAGCCCCTCCAGAGCCTGTTCAACTGCATCATTTCTTTCACACCAGTGGTGCCCCCATCTTTGTTTCCACAGCAGATTTGAACATCTCCTTCCTCCCAGCCACCAATAAAACAGGCCTGTACTGGTGACACTGTCCTTTCCCAGCATCCATGCAAATGCATCCCTCCATGCCAAGTACCACAGCAACCATTAAACCAGAAACTGACACAACACAGGCTTTTGTGTAGCACGGTTCTAGAAACAACCCTTCTAAACTCAGGCAAATGATGTCTTCCCTTTCTCCTATCTTAGCTTATTTGTTTGAAACCTTTCAGACAGATGTTTTTAGGCATGATCTCTCTTTTGGGAATCCAAGCTGTCTCTCCTTAACTAAATAATAGATATGAGGAATACCGAGAAAGGATCTCCTATTTCCATTTCGTCCTCTGCCAGCATGTCACCGAAATCAAGCTGGAAGATGTAGGATATTCAAATCCTCCCAGGCCTGCATTTCAGAACAACCAATTCTGCACAGAACCCTTTGAAGCTACCAGATAAGCACATTCTTGGGTTTCCTTGGGAAATCCTTGGTTTCCAGATCGGAGACCCAGTGAGACCAAAAGAACAAGAAAGCAAAATTCATGAAAGGTGTTTGTTAGTCCCTTGTATGCATTTGGTGTTGTTACTGTTAAAAGCTGCAATGCAATCTTCTGCATAAAACCCCCATAATAAGCCATCACCTCTGCACTGGGTACTGCAGGTGGAGGGGAACAGCCTCTCCGCTTGTTCAGCCCACTGCTTCTGGGGGGCCAGTGTCAGTTGGGTAAAACACCCCAAGCTCAAAATGCATCCACAGAGGGAAAACAAGAAGTAAAGACAAAAATAAGTGGTTACATTCCATATTCTGACACAGCAGAATAAAACCTCCATCTCTTGAGAAATACTGAAACATCACGAAACTCATCTGATGCGTCCTCATCATCTCAGCCTGCAAGTGCCTTGCCACCAACACACTGGTCCCAGTGATTTCCCAACTGGTTCTGGAAGACAATTTCCATTTTCAGGTGGTTCCTGGAGCCTGCAATATTGGAAGTAATCAATAGCACCAACACTCTTGCAGAAACCAGTGACACCTGAGAGTGCCATGACTTCCCCCAAAATCACTGCACTGCACACACCCATGAGCACAACATCGTGAGGCTGCGAGACAGACAGTCAACACTGTAGTGTTAGGTGCCTCAAAGATGACACGAGCTAACACAAAGCTCCTCTCTGACATTCTCAAGTGTCAACAATGGATTCATTATTAGTTTAAACTTGTAAGTGAAAGATGTGGGCTTATTCTTCTTTTTAATGTTTGTTTCATCTTTAATTCTGCTTCCTGAAGGGAGCTAATCTGCATGAGTTTGCATTACCACACGAAGTAGTAGCTGTAGCGTTATAGCCACAGCAAGCAACAGAGGGCACGCTTTCAGGGAATAGTACAAATCCTCCCTCACACACCAATAAGAGATAGACAGACTCTGTCAGAGTCAACAAAAGATAGAGGCAGGTAGCTGGCAGTTTCCAGTTGCTGCTTCATCCTCACTCTTCCTGTTCTGTGTTTCCTGCTCTTCCCCTTTCGCTTCCATCACTGCCTTCTCTTCTTCACTCATCCTTCTTCCATCTCCCCTTTCTGATACCTCCCTACAACAACCCTTGCCTCTTCCCAACAGGTAAAGGACACAGAGATG